GCACCCAATGACCGGACTGGGGAAACAAACTGAAACGCGGACTTAATACAGAGGACTAATGACAACAACCAGAAACAGCTGATCACATGGGGATCCCACACAAGGTTAAGGAGGGGGCGTGGCACACGAAAGGAGCAGACGATCGGGGTAGGACAGGGGTAATGTTGGGATAAGATCTTTATCGTTTTGGAAGCCATTAAGAGAAAAATGCTCTTCTTGTTTTATCCTGTTCATTTTGTGTTTAAATGCTAAAAAACCACCTGCAGGAGCAGCCATAAAGGTTCACTGCATTGTGGTTCGGGGAGCACTTGAAGGCTGAGGCCCTGCTGGATTGATCCCCGGCTGCTGAAACTGTCTTTAGGGACATGGAATGTGAACTCTCTGGTGGTACAGGGGCCTGAGCTAATGTGAAAGGTACTAACTAGATACTGTTGGCTAGTCGTGCTCACCCCAAACATGGAAGGGTCCGACTGGAAGGAACACATTGCCTGGTTCCAAGGGCGTAACTTTGGCTGGAACATTGGGGGGGGTTGAGTTCTCCACCCATTACAGGGGAAACATGATTATTGGGGGGTTATATTGGCTGGATCTGATTATTGGGGGGGTCATGTCCCCCCTAACCCCCCTGGAAATTACACCCATGCCTGGTTCAAACCCAATTGTCTTCTGTTACAGGACTTCTGTGCTAAAAACAGTTTGTCAATAAACACCATGTTCGACCTTACAGGTGTTCATAAGCTCACCTGGCACCAGAACACCCTAGGCTGCAGCCACAAATGCACAACTTAACACTATTATTATTATTATTATTATTATTATTATTATTATTATTATTATTATAAGGACAGAAAAAATCAAACAAGTGCCTTTCACTTGATGCCTTTATTGGGGGAATGAATGAAGTCAGATTAAAAATTGTGTGGTACACCCCCCAATGCAACAGTACTAGAACAAAACAGACCAATAAGAAACAAAAATTCAGCATGCATCTTAGAACTGTCTGTGTATTTCTTTTTTGTTGTCAACCATCTGTCTCCGAGGATCTTAATTTAAGTGACTAGATTTTTAACTAATTTCTTAAAATCAATAAGTTCATATAGAAAAAGAAAAAACTACTATATATACAGTGGTTACATTTTCACATTACAATGCCATACAATGATATATATATATACACAGTATAGATTAGGGCTGGACAATAATTCGATATCAATATATATCGCGATA